CAGTTGATTTCTCTGTATTTTTTTTAACTTTGTGCTTTTCTTTTCCTATATGCTATTGGGATTCCTCTCTACATTCATCTGAGTATAAAAACCCTCTTCCATTCATTCTCTCTCTCTTTTTATTTTTAGAAAATTTTGTTATTGCATATTAAAAGAAGCAACACATTCAATACACATTCAGTACTCTAAAACAAAATAACATACGTACGTCCATACTTACATGAGCATCATCTAATTATTTACTTGTTCTATTGTAGTTAAACAATCGTGTGCAATCTACTTCAGTCATTCATCCTTCTCTTGTAACCCTTATAAATTCCTTGTTGTTGGGTTCATATTCTTCATCTTTCTCTTAATCAATTCTCCACTCTCTAGTTCGTCTTTCCACCTAACCTTTACTTCCATCTATGCTCCACTATTTCCTTACCTTTCCTATTTCCCTCTCGGTAATTTCTTTACCCCTTTCCATATGTGCTTCCTTTAACACCCTCTCCCTCTTCCTGTAATTCCCCTTTTTCTTCCTTTTTTCCTCCTTTTTACCATCTTTCCCTCTCATTCCTTCCAGACTTCCTCATACTTTCTTCTCACATCATCTAACCTTCTCCACATTCTTCCTCTTTCTCATTCTTTCCGACCTTCCTTCCTACTAGTCACTGATTGTTACTCTCTTGCGTTCCCCCGACTTTCCATTTTCTTTATTTTCTTGAAACTCTATATGCATTTCACCTTTCCCTTTATTACCCATCCTAACTCTTTTTTTTCCTGTATAGCTTATCTTCATCGATCTCTTATTCTTGTAGTTTAACTAAATCCACTTTTTCTCGAGCAACTCATTACCAAGATCGTAGAATTTCCCCACAAAAAGAGATAGTACATATTGCATATTCCGTTATGCCGTATCCCCCCCATATCTTTTTAAAATAACTTATTACTTTCATCCAATCCTTGCCCACCTTATCTGTTGTTTCCCCTCTTAATAGTAGTGTCAGCTTGTCTATTTCAATGCATCATACAATTTCTCCAACCATTCTTTTTTGTTAGGGATATCTCCAGATTTCCATTTGTGAGCCTTTTCCATTCATTCTCTAAGGCTGCTGCCACACTGCAGAATTAATGCAGGATGACACCACTTTAACTGTCATGGCTCTGTCCTATGGAATTGTGGGATTTGTAGCATGTTGTGGCACCCAATCTCTCTGACCAAGAAAGCTAAATATCTCACAAAACTACAAACCCCAGAATTCTGTAGCACAGAGCCATGGCAGTTAAAGCAGAGTCAAACTGCATTAATTCTGCAGTGTAGATGCACCCTAAGACAGCGGTCAGCAATTGCATGTGGGCCAGGGGCCAATTCTTCCCAGATCCAAATATCTCCTTTTTCCTCTGCAGTTCCTCTCAAAATGGTGTTAAGGAGTGATGAGGAGTGAGGGCGTCTGCATGCTGGCCGGGGGATTCTGGGTGTTACAATCCAAAAAACGTAATTTTTCCAAGCTTTGGTGTGCCCGGGAACTATCTTAGCCCCTGAAAGACTTCTGTGGAAGAAGGCACATGGGTTCATTAAGTGGCCAAACACATACTTCTAGGAAGTCCATAAGTCCAGGGCAAGAAGATAGCAGCTGTTCCCATCGTACACCCCAAATATCTGGTATTTGGTGCTGGACTGTATCCAGAACGAAAGATTTCATTCAGCTATCATGGTTAAAAATGACTGTTTGCGTACACCTAGATTCCTCTTCCCCAGCTTTACTTGATCCTTTTTAAACGGATCTTAGGTTATTGGCCTTCCCCATGTCTTGTGGCAGTGAGTTCCATAAATTTCTTGTACACCTTTCAGAATTCTTTCAGTGCTTGGAATCTTACTTTTAGAAAGTACTTCATTACAATTAGAGTTCTACCCACCCCAAGTTACTGTTACAGATAACATTTTTTTGAAACATAAAACTTTACTTATCCATCCCTTAAAAATAACTAAAATAATTTCCCTTTAGTTATTTTGCAAATGGCAACATCTGAAAGCACAATTTTATGGTGGAATATATGCAGGGTGACTAGATGTTCTCCTTTTTCAGGACATGTCCTCCTTCTGTCCAGGAGGAATTCCAAAATGTCCTCCATTTTGAGCATGAATTTATATTTATACGAGTGTTTTTAGCTTTTGTTTTGTAATGTGCTGTATTTTTCTTGAATGCTCTACACTGTGCAATGCCTTGTCCTCCTTTGCGATTTTGGCATCTGGTCATCCTGAATACATGGGCCAGAAACCTATTGATCTGTCCCTATTTCTTGCCCATTGGATTAATTACTGCGCAGTGAATCAACACATAGGTAAATCCAATGGATTCAATGGCTCTGCTGTAGTTAGGGCTAAGAGTAAGATTTAAGTCGTGATTTCTTCTTCTCATCCACCTTCTTATCACTTCTACAGAACAAAAGGCAGCAATATGAGCTAGCATTGGATCCATGTGATATTCCTTCTCCACTGTTTAGTAGGACTATCCCCCCACAATTATAAAAGTAACTAAAACTTATAGCTGCACCATCAATGGAGGGAACCTGTCCTCATTGCATTGCAGTCTTAATGTGAAGGAGTTAACCTCTGTTATTGGGGAGTGACATTTAATTTCAAACAATTTGGGACCAAATACTTCAAAGTTCTTTATCACACCACATTCTTTATACTGTGGTTTGTTGTTGTTGCTGCTGCGTGTCTTCAAGCCATTTCCGACTTGTGAACCTATCACAGTTTCTGACTAAGGTATTGCGATGATTGGTTTTGATTAGTTTTGATATCAAGACCCCTTTGGGTCCCTGTCATAGCCCTATGCTGA